TAAATTAATTAATTTAAAAAATCGCGTCACGGGTGAAATTTGAACCCGGGACCCCTAAGTTCGTGTAATGGCTTTGATAGCGTACCAAATTAGGAACAGCAATGTTAATTAGAACCCAACAGTGAATGGTCAAGTGGAAATATTCGCTAGGCATCAGAATTAATTTTTAAATAAATTAATTAATTTAAAAAATCGCGTCACGGGTGGAATTTGAACCCGGGACCCCTAAGTCCACAGGCCAACGCACTAACCACTGAGCTACCCACCCCCTACTTTTTTTTAAGTATTTTTAACAAATATGCATTTGCATATTTAAGCATAATTGGACAAAATAACTGCATATTTTTGGTAAAAACGATGCATATATATTCGCATATTTTGTTATATTTTGATGCATATATTCCGCCCTCTAATTATCAGTAAGCAAACAATCAAACTCTCGACTATTCTTATTAAAAAAGACTTTTGGCAATGTTTCTCCTTCAACATTTTTGAAAATATACACAACATATGTTCGTCCTCGCCTGGAGTACTGTGGTCCTGTTTGGTGTTCCATATTAATCTTGGACCAAAAGAGGTTGAAAAATGTGCAGCGACTTGCGACAAGACTTCCGTATAGTATAAGAAGGCCACCGTATGAACAGCGTCTGTCTACGGCTAATCTGACTCTTTTTAGTGAGCGTCGACTGCATGGTGATTTGATCGTTTGTTTTCGCGCAATTATGCATATGTTCGGTGTCGATCTTTCGGATTTATTTGTATTAAATAATGCCCTGCACCTACGTGGGCACATGTTTAAATTAAAAAAGGAAAATTTTAACTGTAGAGTTAGACAAAATTTTCTAGCTAGAAATAAATTATAAAAATTTACAAAATTATGTTAAGAGAAGATTCTACTCAACTGACAGACTTTTTTTAGAAGCTGTACGCTGTCGTGGTATCATAAATTTAGCAAAAACTGCTTCGTGGTCTGAGAGATCTGAACTAATTATTTGGTGCTCCACATCAGCGGGTTTAAAATCATAGACTACGTAATAAATAATTGTAGATGTTGTTTTTGTGATTCTAGTTGGCGAATCTACGTGCATAAGATTCTAGAATATTTATCAGAGATTTTTGAGTAGCACACTCATTAGCAAAGTCGATATTAAAGTCGCCGCATAAAATTTTCTTACTTTTTATAGGCAATGCGTCAAGTAGATTAAGAAGGTTCTCGAGAAGGAGGTGTACATTAGATTTGGTTGTTCTATAAATACAAATAATAAATAAATCAGTATTTTTGTTATTTACTATGGATAATTCGAAGACGTTTTCTGCTACTAAAAAATCGTATTTTGATACAGCGGAGGAGTCATCGTTTAAGGATAAAATTAGAGTAACGCCAATAGTCTGTACTAATTCTGTTATATCTGCTAATTATAGTGTACAGTTCATCAAATTTCTAGAGGTGTTCGACGCCCAGACAGAGAACGCGCTACGTGTGACTAAGATAGCTATTGTACAGTCTGCTAAACAAGTTATTTTAAATAGTTTTTAATATTTTTAGGTAATTAAATTTTAAAAGTGTGGAATAGTTTAGGGATTAAATTAATCTGATTGGACTTTCTTAGAACGTTTTTAAAAGCAGCTAAAGATAGTATGTAGAATTGAAAATAATTATTATACCATAAAAGGTGTTTTGGAATTCCTTCAACCTTTTGAAATTGAGTCAGAAAATATAGATTTTATAGGATAGCGGAAAATACTTATAATTTTTTTGTAGGCCTTTGTAAATCGTGGAAATAGTTTATATTTTATTTCTACCTTATTAAGGAAAATGGTACCTATTTTTAATAACGGTTGTTTCTGAAACATTACTAAAATTTTCGAAATTTTGTTTTTCTACAAAATAATAAACTATACTATTTAGAAAAAAATTTATTTCTCTTATAATTTTATAAAAAATAACAGGGGAATATTTACATTTCTTGATCTATTAAACAAAACGATAAATTATCTCGACGAATGACACCATGTTCTAGTACGGAAGCTAGCTTTACATTTTTGTTGGTGGTTTCATGGGTTTCATATCAATTTTTTGTAATTGTAGTTTACACGTACATATACCTCTTAACACTTGTTTGCTTTATTAAAAAAGTGTGTTGTGATTTACGTCGAAATAAGTCAAAAACAACTTGAAACCCCATATAAAATCAAAAAGGAGAAACGGAAAAAAATTGAGCCTGTAAATGAACACAACTCAGAAACAAAAATAGCTATCTAATAATAAAAAAATAAAATTTGATTCTTGTGCAGCTTCATCTATATCATTAACTGTTTTTGGTTTTTTAATGGTTTTTCTTGGTGATGAAAATTCCGATATCTCACGGTTATCGATTCTTTTTTTCCTCTCCAAAAATGCGGACGACAGTGTTTTTAGATACTCCTGTGGCTGCAGCAACATGATCATTTACATTTTTAAATGGTATTGAAGGTGAATTAAAGTTTCCTTCTCTTTTCATAAACTCTATAACATTGGCTATTATTTCGCGAGATTGACTGTTAATCACGCGGCCTCTTAATTTGCTATTAAACTCCATACTTAGGTTCTATTAAACTGTAATGAGCAAAAAACACAAACGAAAATAAAAGAAATGTTTTAGCGAAATTTACATCTGACATTTACGTCTGAATGAAATAGTGAAATACTTGATGCGCAGAGTGTACTTTCATTGCGTAAATCCGTCGGGATGCCTGTCAGTAGTGCTTTCTCTGTCTAGCCGTCGAAAGCCTCTAGAAATTTGATGAACTGTATTTTTCAATAAAAACTTGTTCACTAACTTGTACTAGCCACTATTTGGGGGAATCCTAGGTCTTCCAAAAACAAAAACAATTCCTTTGTTTTCTTCCACATCGATATACCTAATATTAATTAGAACCGTTCTTAATTTACTGTCTGCATTGCTAATAAGACTAATTGGGGATTCTAGTTTCTTAGGTGAATCGGCAGTAAAATAACGGTTAATGTATATCCTCTGCTTTTGCAGGTGTATTCTTCGTTCCGCGGAGACATATAAGTAGGGAGAGAGACCGTTGTCCATTTCAGCTGGGCCAATAGCATATAAGTTATGATAATTATAATAAATAGTCCGTAAAGCTCCAGGATCAACTGGCAGACCCTCCGAGACAAGAAATACTTTTACACTCGTGTTAGTGTAGCTCTCAAGACAGACGAATGATGATTGGTCATGAAGATAGGCGAGGAATAACTTAAGGGGCGATAAAATAGCCGGTTCTTTTAATCTAGCCATCAAATAACGACCAATATTTCTTTGTTAGTCGGACAGTAGGAGTCAACGGGTTCAGCGAGTTGTTTGTATCATCTTGTGATTCTGTTATAATCTGATTATCCCCCCACTCCATCCCGCAGATGCTCCTACGGAAATATTTGCAGAAAAGGACAAGAGACAAAATTAACTATAAATATTTCTGAGTATCATAATTGTACATACTAATATTTATTTCAATAGGTTTATTACCCATAAACACTGGAAACAGGGGGAAAAGCACCCCCTATTGACTCCACCTTTGTTTGTGGACTTCTGTGTCCAGTAGATCCCCCGTTCGTGTTTGACCTACCTACAAACCACTTGTTGAGCATAAGTTGTTCTCAGTATTCCCACACTATTCAGGATGTTACCTTAGAGATCACAGGATACTCTTACCTTGTTTACAAACATTTTTATGTGACCATTTTAAAACGAATGAATGAATGATAACGTTACTCTTATAGATGATTTAATTTTCACTTTAGGATGTATGTGTTACAAATGCCTTTATATTCGATCTAATGTAGCTGGGGATTAATTATGATTTTAATATTATGGTTCTCCATTACCTTGGTCTCGGGCCATTGGACCCGATACTTTGAAAGACATAGGTGGGGTCGTGTAGCCAACATGTAGAGGTAAGGGATACACGTGGCGAATACAATCCTCGACTCCCTCATATGATATACCCGAAGATTATAATTCTTTTTATATTATTAAGAAATATTAATTACTATTATTTGCCTGTAATAAGCACTACGATAACAGATTATAAGCTTTGACCTATCATGTAAATAGTTACATTTAGGATGATTCTAATGCGTCGTAATGAACATAAAAAAGTTTTTTATTATAAAGATCTTTCAATTTGTATATAGCAGCTTATCCTTATTGGAGGTGGGAAAATTTCCTATACATTTCTACACATTGCCCTTTATAAAATTATTACTTTTTTAACTAAAAATGAAAATGGAATTTGCTCTAGTGGCGTAAAAAATAGGAAATAAAAGTTGCCACTAACCCTGGTTAGATTTTTCAAAAGTTAGTATATGTAAAAATCTTATTTTCTTAAACAGCACATTTGTCACCAAATTTTAAATAAAATATTTAAAGACGTTTTTGATTTATGGCAAATTTTAAATTTTAATTTCTAACTTTCAAAACCTTGTACTAGGGAGACTAAGCCCTTTAAGGGTTCATGTTCCTATATCAAAATTCATAAATTACCGAGAGCTCTATGGGGTAGAGCGATGTCGGTCGTTTTGCAGAAACACCCTACATAAATTAAAGAAATCCAAAAACAGCACATGTAACAAAATGTATAAAATAAGCTGACTTGTTGAAAAATTAGATATTTTTTTGTCATCGAGCTTGGATTCGAAATGTTATATTCAAATTAACAATTTGGATGCCGGAGATTAATGTCCCGATGAATGAATGGTTAAGGCAGTGTACGTACAACACGAATAGGTGGGATCGAATCCTCATGTAAACATAATCTTTCCATTTTTATTAAATTTGTTTTTACTTTGGAGGATCAAAAATATTATTATCTTGCATCTCTTCTGCATTACCTGAAGACATAACTTAACCTAACCTAACCTAATGCCAGGGAATAATATTTTAAAACAATCCTCTATTACATAGAAAAATTTCACTTTGCACATTCATAATGTATTATATTTGTTTCAGATCACCTCTTCAGACAAAATGTCGACCATGGTTTGCGAAGAATGCATAGAAAAAGTATCGTCATGGAATTCATACAAGGAACAATGCGTCCAAAATCAGAAAAAATTCGAAGACGTCTTAGAGCCTCAACAGAAGCCTGCCACGCCTCCTCCTTCGTTTGCCCCAGAACCAATTTCTGAATCTGCGCCTTTTGCACATCTTGTAAGTTAAAATTCAATGGTCAAAAAGTGACTATTTTCAAGAGTTTATTAGTTTTTTTTTAATTTGTTAATTAAAATTAATAATTTTATTTTTACCACAATTTTAAGGATTTAAACATACGAATTTTATTATAATCTGGATTACTGACGAGATCCAATATTTCAGAACGTCCATATAAAAGAAGAACCGATAACTGAGCTGGATAATCCAGACGAAACGCCTCCAGAATTTGTAGAACCGGAACCGGAAAGGGAAGATCCGCTTCCTCCAGAAAACGTGCTAGACCAATCGGATATGGCACAAATATATGTTAAGAGCGAACCGTTAGATATTGATCAGCTCGACCAGCTAGACCAGGTTGACGAGATGGACGAATCCATGGAGCACGAATATAACGAATTTCCACCTACGTTATCGCCGCAACAGATGAATAACGGAGATATGCCGGAAGTAATTCGTAAGTATTTTTAATATTACTGAATGCGTGTTTGCTATTTTTTCTCAAAGCACCTGCATAGTTGCATGTGTGTGTATGTCAATATTTCAAAAAATGTTTTTTGTATACTTTTTGATAAATCAAAATAAGTTAAGATCTGTTCATTGCTGGACGAATATATCGTTTAATATTTGCCATTTGCACTTGTCTTTAGCAGATGTGGAATTCTATAGGTTGTAATCAGTGTTGCCAACCTGAAACTTATAAAATCGGTAGATTCTTTCGTCAAAAATCGACAGAAATCGGTAGATTTGAAAAAAAGGAGGCAAATTTGAAAAAAAAAAATATTTAAAATAGAAAAAAAGACACAATTTGAATTTTACAAAAAATACAGTTACGCAGGTTTTTGGTATCACAATTTATTCCAATTCAACTTGTAACAATAACTATCCAACTGATAACATTAACATCAAAAACCAGGGGGGATATCGCGCATGCGATCATGGCTGCGCTGACGTCATGCGTAGAGTTAGTATAGTTGGCGCGAAGTAAATATCATATGACAGAGGCACATTGCAGTGGTTTGTAAGTCTTTTATAGTGATTTATAACATTTTAAGTAGATATTTGTATTATATTATGTTGTAAACTTTGTTTTTTGTGAGTTTTATTAGTGAAAAACATTAAAAAAACGAGGACCGCAATTTACGGGTGTAACAGTAGCTATCAAAGCAAATAATTTTAAAAAGACATTGTCTATTCACTTTCCTCGACAGTAAGAGGTTAGTCAGAAGTGGCCCAAGGGTGGCTTCAGTGGGGGTTATGCCCCTCCGAAATAAATTTCTTACATTCCATGAGTCTTTTATTAAAAAAATATGCTAAAAAGAGAATTGCAATAGGCAGTGCTAACTTCCCACTCCCCACACTCCCAAAAACTCGACCTGGAGTCGTCCTTGTAGTGGCATGTAGCCGTGCAGATAAATTTAAAATAGAAAATTGGCATGTGTGTTCCTAGCACTTTTAAGCATAAGAGGAATCTTAAATCCGATCTTCACATTGGTTTACGCAACTGGGGACTACTCTTTAAAGGCTAAAAATTTGAAAAGATTTAAGTAAAATTACCTTAGTACAAAGTTGCTTCGTTTGGGCTCCAGAGGGCCTTGAAGTTACAATTTTTAAATGGTTTTTCCCATATAAATTTAAAACGGCATATGCGATTTTGCTGAAATTTGGTATATTGGTAGAGTTTTATGTTTTAAATAATTGTACCTTTAAAAATTCTACGCCAATGGAAGAAAAGGAGTTTGAGTTCGAAATTTAGATTGCGCAACTCATTTACTTTAAAAAAGGTACTCTTGATAAGACTCGATTACTCTCATGGTTTTCGCTAAATTTCTGTTTTAATAATTTGGAGTGTATAAGTTTCACAAAAATATTTATTTACAACATAATCAAAATAGAGATTTTACAAAAATTGTTCAAAATGTTCACCATTTTCACGCATACAAAGATTTATACGTCGAAGAAAATTAAAATGTATCCTTTCCATAACTTCTTCATCACCTCTAAGTATTAGAAACAATAATAGTACAAGTATGATGAAAATATACGATATTTAGTTTAAAACATATATTTACGAAATTAAAAATATAATGATACCGACTAACGAATTTAACAGTAGGAATGCCAAAGCTTCTCTGCCACGTTTCTTTGTTGAGCCGCTCCGTGACGATTCTGTAAATCACCGACGGGCTAACTCAGCAACTCTATTTAATGGTACCGCTATCAGTGGTGTCGATTACATAAGATTGTTTATTGCATCTTGAATACGTTGCCAGAGTTGTTCCTCATTTTCTACAGGTTCCCTGTAAACTGTGGATTTCAGATGTCCCCATAAAAAGTAATCCATCGGTGTTAGATCTGGGGAACGTGGTGGCCAGTTTACAGGTGCGTCATTACCTCTGCCTATCCATTTGTGTGGATTTTGTTCATTCAAGTGGTTTCTAACGTTTAAAGAAAAATGTGGTGGAGCTCCATCTTGCATAAACCACATATCTCTCCGAAGTCGGAGAGGTAAATCTTCTAACAATTCTGGCAACGTATTTTGTAGAAAATCCAAATAATTTTCTCCAGTTAATCTTCGTGGAAGTATGACAGGACCAACAATGAAATTACCAATTATTCCAGCCCACACATTAATTTTGAATTTGTGCTGAAAATGGTTTACCTTTATTGCATGCGGATTTTCAACGGCATAAACATGTTCATTATGGGTATTAGTTATACCTCTTCTTGTAAAACCTGCTTCATCGGTAAAGAGAACCTTCTTGAGAAAGTTTGGATCTCTTTTTTTTGCATATTAACAAATCGACAAAAACCCAAACGAATTTGAGAATCATGGACTAATAATTCTTGTACTGGCTTCTTATGGTATAAATATAGCAATTGTTCTCCAAGCACTTTATGAACGACATCTTTACTTACTCCTAGTTCCCTTCCAATTCGTCTGGTGCTTAATTCTGGATCTTCTTTAACACGTTCTAAAATGTCTTCTTCAACTTCAGGAATCCTTACAAAACGTTCTCTTCCATTATCAACAGTGTTGGGAGCAAAGGAACCGGTCTCCCGAAGACGTCTCTCAACAGCAGCAAAAGTTGGGTTGCTAGGTACACGACGATTTGGAAACCTTTCAGAGTACACCCTGACACTGTCTCGAGCATTTCCTTCACACAATCCTAATGTCAGTAACATATCGGTATATTCAATTCATTGAATAAAAATCTCCATTTTTATAAGTAAATTTAATGGAAATCAGTGTAATAATAAAAGTAAATATTCTCGTCTTAATCCATTTATAAACCTAAATAAACTCGATGATGGTGGGTGAGGTTTTCCGGGTTTTCCTCACCTGTAAGTCAAATGGCACCATCAATCATCTTTAATTCGCCCCGGAGCGCCACGGCAAATAATAATAATAGCCGTCCCTTCCCCTACATAATCAGTCGACTTCAGGGGTTGAAATTCACTCGTAAGGGGGTGAATTAGGGAGAGTATCAAACGCAATTATGTAAATAGGTTTTTAAGTACTATAGAATTTGTTAAAATTTATTTGATATCTATGAGTTAAAATGTATTCTGTTAAAAAAATTTATTGGGTGAAAAAAAAATGGTGATTTTGCACTTGATATCTTTAATATTTTAACAAAATGTGAGGGTGAAGTAGAAGTGGTGAAAGTCATCAACATACAAATATTAAAATAAGACAAGGATTTTTTAAAAATATGATATTGGTCAACAAATACTGAATTTATACTAACCTCTATTCCTTGTTGCTATAACTACTATCAAACAAAATAAACATAAACAAATTAACAGAGTTCTAAAAAATCGTCATCAAAATTATCACTATCACTAGAACTATCACTGCTGTCTTCATTAATATTAATACTAACTGTAGGAATTACAACGTCACCATTATAATTTCGCGATCTAAATATTTATCTGCGACAGCTATTACGTGTGCACATCTTTTTTTCCAGTCTTCTTGGGTTACTGATTTAATTTCAATTTCAGCTAACATTTGTACATGTGCTAATTTAAAATGAATATTCTTTATTGCTACATTATTTTTTACTACAGCCCAGATAATTTTATTGTAGACTCAAATCTTGAACAACTTATAAACGAACCTACCCGCTTTCGCTTAAATCAAGAACCTTCAACTCTAGACCTTATATTAACAAATGACGACCAACTTCTAATTTCTCCATCTGTCCACTCACCTATTGGGAAATCTGACCATGACGTTATTATATTTAACATGCAATTTAACATAGAAACCCCTAATTCCGATAGGGACGTAACCTATAGTGTCACAAACTTTAATAACGTAAAGAGAGTCCTCTCCGAAATTGATTGGGATCACTTTTTTAGAAGTACTGTATTAGTAGAAGATATGTGGACACTATTTCATACAAAGATATCTGAAATTGTAAAGGCTAACACAAAAAACAAAAAATGTCCTCAGAACAAATTAAAACCCTGGATCAATGGACAACTTTTAACTTTAATTAAACATAAGAAAAATATGTGGAAAAAATTTAAAGCAACCAAAAGACATGATGATTTTGTTAACCATCGACGTTTCGCAAACGTTTTAATCAATATTATTGATAACGCAAGAAGAGAATACGAAGAATATATCGCTAGTAGCGATAACCCTAAGAAGCTATTTAAACACATAAGATGCTCTCTATCTTCTAAAGTATCAGTACCACTTCTTAAAAAAACGGATGGAAACTTATGTAATAATGATCAAGAAACAGCTGAAGCTCTGGCCAACCATTTTTCACAAGTCTTTTCCTTAGAACCCACAGGCGACATTCCAGTCAGTCACGATGCCCGAACAGCAACCTCTTTATGTAATGTCGAGTTCTCATTTGCAATTGTTAATGAAAATCTCAAAAAAATCAAATCAAATTCCTCACCTGGAATAGACAATTTATCCGCAATGCTTTTAAAAGAATGCGCATCTTATTTGGCTTTACCTCTATCCATTATTATGACATCTTCTTTTACATCTCACACACTTCCTTCAATGTGGAAAATTGCTTCGGTGACACCTATTTTTAAAAAGGGTGACAAACTCAGTCCATCCAACTATCGTCCAATAAGCCTCGTCCCAATTGCCTGTAAAATAATGGAATCCATCTTAACCAATTATATGTCTGATTTTTTTAAGAGCTATGACGTCTTGCCAAAAGAACAACACGGTTTTATTAAAGGCCGATCCACATTAACAAACCTAATGACCTGTTTAAACGATTGGACTACGTCTGTGGACAATAAAGAGCCTGTCGATGTCGTATATCTTGATTTCGCTAAAGTCTTTGATCGTGTTCCCAAAAAGAGATTGCTTTATAAATTGGAAAAAGCTGGCATTCGCGCCTCTTTACTTCTCTGGATAAGTGATTTTTTGTCAAATCGCATCTTCAAGGTAAAAGTTGGACAGATGTTCTCGTCAGAGTATCCAGTTCTAAGTGGTGTCCCTCAAGGCTCTGTCATAGGGCCATTACTATTCCTGGTATACGCTGCAGATCTAGGCAAAGACTTAAATTCTAATATTTCGTGTTACGCTGATGACACTAAGCTATACTGTAATCCTGTGACAGATTCTACCCAGCTACAAAAAGACCTTGAAACTATTTCAAACTGGTGTGACACCTGGCCGCTTCCTTTAAACGCGGAAAAATGTGTCGTCCTGCATATAGGAAAAAATAACCCGTGCGTGAACTATTATCTAAACGGTAGTGCCTTAGCAACTGTGAACTCCTATAACGACCTGGGACTCATTGTAAACTCTTCATTAACGTGGTCAGAACACATATCAGCGGTATGTAAACGTTCGAACTCAATGATCTACCTATTAAAAAAGTCCTTTACGCGTGTGAACTTTCAAACATTTTCTGAACTTTATACAACTTACGTTAGACCGTTGATGGAATATGTCGGACCTGCGTGGTGTCCTGATTTGGTTTCTGATCAAAAAAGATTGGGAAATGTTCAACGCTACGCTACTCGAATACCTTTCGGCAGAATCAGACCATCGTATGAAGAACGGCTTAACATGGCGAATTTGTGTTCATTTGCCCACAGAAGATTAAGGGGTGATTTAATTGTGACATACAGAATTCTTCATGGTACTTTTTCATCCAACCTCTATAGTATACTCCCACGGAATACAGATGAGCGCCTCCGTGGACATGAATATAAGTTGAGCAAAGAATATTTTAAAACACGTACCCGAGAAAACTTTTTTTGTAATAGAGTTTTTTATACTTGGAATAATTTACCCTCGAGTGTTGTTCGCGCACAGTCAGTAAATGTATTCAAAAACCGACTCGATGACTTTTTTAACGAAAACTAAAAGTTTATTTTTAGTGCTTTGTTTGCATTATGTTATTTGCTAATTACTTATTTAATAATTGTCTTTGTTATTGAACTTGTAATTTTGGGCTTAATAGGATTCATTCCTCAGTCCTAATTAGTTTGTAATAATAATAATAATAATAATAATTTCTATTGAATTTAAGTCTGGGTGGTAAGGTGGTAATCTCAAAACTTTATGACCGTGTTCGGATAATAATCTATCAAATTTGTATTGCTTGAATCTATTTTTATGCGGTTTGATTAATGTGTACAGCTGTGGTCGTAATAAGGAAGGTTGAAATTCAATATTGTTGGACGTCAACCAGTTTATCATTTCAGCTTTTCTTGAATTTGAATTCGGAGCAGGATTTTCTATAACATTGTGATCCACAACTATAATAGCATTTGGTGGTAAATTTGGTATTAAGAGTTCTCCTACCAACTTTTCATAATTTTTTTGATTCATATCATGATAATCACCAGATTTGGCCCCAGACACAAACATTTAGGAACTGTTAGGAATAAAGCCCATGTTACCACCAGCATAAACTATAATAAGTCTCTTTCCTTTCGAAATGGTGGAAAACAAACCTTTTGCATTATCATCACCCCAATTATGTGATGATGTATGGCTATTATGTATATAAGTTTCATCAATATATACAATGGGACGGTTTTGAAAACGAAAATATCTAATTATAATCTATTCTTTTTTCCCTAATGTCAAGCTGTTCTATTAGAACCTGTCTGTTGTTTCGCGTTTTTCGCCGCTTGAACCCAATTTTTTTTAAAATAATTCTTAATGATGTGTAGCTCCCTTTCCACTAAATTTCCTTTTTTTTTTTAATTTTTCACTAAGAGTTTTTACTGTTACGCGCATATCTTCTGTTTCGTGAAATCGATGAACTATATCTTGTTCCAATATTGTAGGATGGAATATCTGTTACACTTGATGTTCTCTTGCGCTTTTTTGGACTTTTAAACAATTGTTTAGGTATAGTCGACGTAGACTTTTTACCTTTTGATATCTCACCTTCTATAATTATTCGTTCAATTGTTTTTACCGAGTATTATGTAGCTTCAGCAACTTGTTCTTTAATTTCAGTGAAAGTTTTGGGATCATCGTTCACAACACATTGTCTATAAGTTTCACTATCATCGTTGTTTTTTTCCAAAACTATTTGTTGCCGAGGAACCTTTTTTTTTTCATAAAATATTCGAATAGCTGAAATATTATTTCCTTTGCTTGACTACCTAAATGTCTCGGCATTTTAACACTACTCAAAAGAAAACACTACAAACAAAAATAAAATATAACTCAAAATCTGCACGCTACACAAACAGAAATTCAAGAAAATATTATCATCTACTGATCACCCCCGACAACACCGCTATTGTTTACATCTCTCTTTAACAGTTACAGTAGGCGTTGGCAATTGAAATTCGAGACTAACGCGCATCCCCTCTTCAGACAAATTGGGTTGCGATGCCTGTAACTAATTGGAAAAATTAAATTCTGGTAGATGAGGTCCCGTAATTCGGTAGATAAATTCCTAAATTGGTATATCGGTAAAATGATTACAAAATCGGAAGATTACCGAAAAATCGGTAGGGTTGGCAACACTGGTTGTAATATTTTTGTTCACGGAGCCTGTCGGCTACATGTTCACGATAGATGAGCATGCGCATTTCTACTTTAAGCGTTCGTAGAGCCGAAAATCGAATGCTTAAAACAGTTTATAAAATTGAAATGCGTATGCGCATAAGCGATCGTAGAGTCGACAATCGAATGCTTAAAACAGTTTAAAATTGAAATGCGCATGCGCATTTGTCGCGGCCACATAAAACAAAATTTTAGTCTGTAAATAAAATTTATCATTTAGAAAATAAATATAATAAGCAGCAAATATTTGTAAAATGTAGCTTTATAACATCTAAAACCATTTTTATATAGTGCATCCTCATAAGTTTTCTTCAATATTCCACTAATAGTCAGAACTAAAATAACTCACCGGTTCTCGTTCCAGTTGCGAATATCTAAAACAGTTCAAACATCCTCTTTCATACATAGTATATGACTTAAGAAATAACTCTCCTATACCAGGTTACTAGAACATCCAAACAGAAATCAAAAAAATTCAATATAGTGTAACGTTTGTTTAATTTCTATTTTAATTCTAATTTATTTATTACAATTTATCTTTTCTGTCCAACACTTAAATTCAATCTGCCGTCCGTCGACAAACTCGTGCTATTTATATAAAGTCAACTCTGTACTAGAACTCTCTAGGCTTTCCAGAACGATCGAAAACTGCCTTTCTATGACCGCAAAGAGACCAATCCGGTAGTTTCGAGAAACGGTGCGTTTGTCTCTATATTGCTAAACTTCATACCGCGGGCAAGGAGTAAACAAAGCAGAGGGTTAGCTTTTACGCGACAGGTATTTAAACAAAAATTGTTGTAGCATTGAATAAATAATCCGAACTATAACATTTTTTGAAATATTGACAGATTTTTTGTTTTATTTTTAGTTTTATTTATTTTATTTTTTTATACCCACATAGGTGAAGAAGCTGAATTTCATAGAAAATGTAGTGTTTGTGGCAAAGTTTTTAGTAGTGCAGGAAACAAGAAAAAGCATGAAAGAGTTCAGCATGGACTTCATCCTGTGCTTTCTGTTACTCCGAAAGAAAATGGTAGGATTTTTATTTTTTATTTTTTTTTTTTAGTTTTTTTTTTTAATTTTAACCTTCCCCATATAATTTACTTACAACATTTTTTTATTTATGACTATCTTTTTATCATAATGTGTTGAAATTGTGAATGTCCATGCTTTCCTGTTTTGAGCTAGATTCTTTATTCATGCCCGTTATACAGGATGACCCATTATTGCCTATTTGTTAATATTTTAATTTGTATTATTGGCCCGCAAATAAGTTTTAAATTAAAGTTATATGGATTTAAAAAATACGTTTTTAAAAAATATTTTTGGATATACAGGGTGTTGCGTTTTTGTCTGACAAATAAAAATGTGTATTATGAAATTAGAGAATGATACAAACCCCAAATTAAATTATCATAATTTAGATAGGTTTACAATGATTTCAAAATTGTTTAAAATACAGACTTGATAAGACACTAAGCTAGACATGTCAAATTTGGCTAATTTTAGGTTCAATTTACTCCATATTTTCAAATGCAACCCTGTATATTATTTTAGCATAAAATTCCTTATAAATTTACCTATCCAACGATACCAACATATTAGCCAATAACAGATATACCGGGCGTTCCATCAGTTCGATGGATGATCGATAGCTGTCGTATTATTGGTAATACGAAATTTTTTTTTAAAAGTTGTATGACCATGTTTAATAAATATTCCTAAATATACAGGGTGGTCCATAAACGAGGGGCTAACCAAATTTATACATTTTTAAAGCAAAATACCTTGCAGGTAGCTATACATATTTAATTGTTTTCACATCGTCAAACAATTTTAATAGACCTTACATTAAAAGGATTAGTAAATAGTTGTACAATTTACATTATATCTCATTAAAAAAGTTTAACCAAATAGATAAAGATTAAAGTAACTTAACTTTCCAAAGATCCAGTAAAAATGATATAGTATATTACATTACGAGTGTGGAAAGTGACATTTTTCACACGAGTGGGAAATATTATCGCACGAGGCACAAGCCGAGTGCGACTATCACGAGTGTGGAAAATCGCTTTTCACACAAGTGATGTACAATATTTTTCATACCACCACAAAATAATTTCATCAAAAAATATGAAACCAGGTTATTATTATAATAATTAAAATGTATTTAAAAAAATAATCAACAATAATCGTATTTATTCAATTTTCATATTTTCTAAACAAAAAAAAAATTAAAAAACAAAAAAAAAATCCGAACCCGCCAGGATTTGAACGCGGTCGCTCGCCAGGTCTCAAATGGCAAAGTTGATAAGTTTGACGCTCTAACCATCTAAGCTAACAGGCCTTGCGTCAATTGAATGATCTAATCGGTTATGTGTTTAACAAGAATAAAGAGCAAACATATCTTAGTTATTTTATTATTTTAAAATTATTTTAATAATAATTGTTAAAGATAAATATCTAGGATCTAATTTACAACAATTTCAATAATTTAACAATCATATCGATTTTAGTATTAATATGGACATTACATAGATCAAAATAGAAATGATGTGTTTGACATTTTGTGATAGCTGCTGCGGAAAGTAGCATATTCGTACACGGGTTGAACGTAAATTCTTATTCATATGCGTGTGATATAGGGCACTTTCCATAGGACTATATAGTGTGATATGTATCACTTTCCTAAGTGGTCATAGGAAAAATGTTTAACATAAAACGCAAGTTAGGAGCAACATACAATCTAACCAGGCAAATTTTCTTTTTACCTTTTCTTTATATTTTTTTTACTTTTAACAAAATCCCAGTAACAATTATAATTCTCATACTCTCCCAAATCCTTCCTAATTTTTTATTTTCCGTTGACAAACAATCTCAAAAACATTTTTTTCTCTTTACGTCAATTTTATACACAACCGCGGATATAATATTGCAAACCAAATTGTTTTTGACATAAATCATTTACCCTCCTGAAATTTTCAAATCACTATGCTTATGTCTACGCCTATGGCAACATAACCTTACTTAAGGAATAACCACGTAATATTGTTATTTTAATGTATTTTGGCACGCTACACATTTCCTCGCCCTTCTAAATGTTGTTATTAAACAGATCCAAATTATTTTCTGAAATAAGAATAAGGGTCGAAAAAAACGTTAGTGTCCTTAAAAATAAGATATTAACATTGTAATATTATTTAAAGATATTATAAAGTTAAAGATATTATTTAAAGATAAATATATTATTTAAAGATATTATTTAAGGATATAGAAAAAATGCGGCGTAACGATTTTCTCAATTTTTTAAATGGAATACCACCAATTTTATTAATACAGGGTATTCCATTTAAAAAATTGAGTAAATCGTAACCTAATGTTTTGACACACCCTATATACAACACAGCAAATGAATGAAGTCAATCAAAGTTGTTTGACGATGTGAAAACAATAAAATATGTATAACTACTTGCAGGGTGTTTTGCTTTAAAAAAGTACAGTTTTGGTAAGTACCTCGTTTATGGAACACCCTCTATATTTAAGAATATTTGTTAAATATGGTCATACAACTTTTATATTTAAAATTTCTTCGTATATCTAATAATAAAACGACATCCCATCAATTACGCACCCTGTTAATTGCTAACATATTTATATCGTTTTATAAGCAAATTTATAAGGAATTTGATGCCAAGATAATATATAAGGTGTTGCATTCGAAAAAAATTTACAAATTGAACTTAAGGTGATATCCCACTTCGGCCGTTTTGTAAAATCTACCTCTTTTTGTCCCATTTCGGCCGCTTGTCCTTTTCATGCGTTTCAGATAAAACGGATACGCTGCATTTCGGCCGGTCATTGTACAGTACAGGGTGGCAATTACGCTTTGGTTTGGCAATTTTGGGAGCAGACTTAATTATAAAAAAATATTCAAGTCGTTCAATTTAAGGCAAAAAATATTTGGAAATGTTTCATTACCGAAACAGATCTGAAATTGTGTTGCCACCACAATTAGCGGACAACTTTTTAGTTACGGTGTTGAAGACGAAATGTTAATATTTATTAACGTATGTGAATCTTTATTAAAATATGTGAAGTATTTTTTGGAGACGGAGCATTTAAGAGCTGTTCTTTATTATTTTGTGAATCTTTATTAAAATATGTGAAGTATTTTTTGGAGACTGAGCATTTAAGAGCTGTTCTTTATTATTTTTTTAATTGTAAAAAGTACCGAGGTACGGTCATTTTTGCTCTTTTGCCGAATAAGGAAAAGAAAACCTATATAAGACTTTTGTCCTTGCTTGTTTCAAAGTTTAAAATTTTTTCTCCGAAAGTATTTACCTAAATTGGATTTTGAAGTAGCTACAATAAACGCAATAAATATGTATTTCCAAAAACTGTCATTCAAGTCGTTTAATTTAAGAAATAATTGTAGACGAAGTGTTAAGGGCATTTTATAGGGTGGTTATCTCTAATAGAAAACCAATTTGTACCTGAACTTTATTATCAGTAATTGCTTGGTAATGCATAATTATTACTAGAAATACCAAATTATGTTAAAAAACTAATAGACATGAGTAGAGAGCGGAATATATGCAAAATGCATATATATGCATTTTTTGCATATTTTACCAAAGTTCAGAAAATATTGCATATTTTACCAAAGTTCAGAAAATTTAAGAAAATATTGCATATTTTCGAAAAAAAAATGTATTACTATACTGTGCAAATCAAAAACTGTTTTAACAGATTATACAGATATGTATATTTGAAATAAAGACCTTTTAAATTTTTGTGTCACTTCTTGTAAATTCTTGTTAATTAGTTCTTGGAGGGTGGCATGCACTGGGTTTTTACCTTCTTAAGAGATTAATTCCATTAAGGTAATTGTTAATAGATGGTATTTACACAGATAAAGTATTACCTACAATGCAATAAAACGGTTTATATAAAATTCTCAGTAATTTCTTGTAACCAATCTACCCTAACATCGGAATATTTTGAATGTTTTTCATTCTGTTTAATGAGATAGTATCCTCGTTATTTGCCTTGTGAAAAGTCTTGTAATAATTTGTTGTTTTAAAAGTGTCCTAAAATGTCGAGAATTTCTTCGTGGATTATTAACTTTCCAGAGTTGGAAATCAATGGGGATAAAGTTTTTTGTAAAGCTTGTGCAAAAATAGTGGTTTGCGAAAAAAAGTTCAAAGTAGTTCAACACGTGAAAACATCATTGCATAAAGCCAAATTGCAAAAAATGAAATCACAACCGGTTCAACAATGCGTTGTGAGGTCATTTCAAAACGCCGACAAAACAAAAAGTGACAAGGAGGTATTTAATCAGGACTTGTGCAAAGCTCTTGTTGCGGCAAATATTCCATTAAAGAAGTTACAAAACCTACATCTAAGAGAATTTTTACAAAAATATTGCATTCAAACCATTCCTGACGAATCTACACTCCGAAAAAAAAAATGTACATGCTATATATATAAATGTAATAGAAGAAATTAAAGTTTTACTGGATGATAGCAATTTTTACATCATTGTTGATGAAAGCACAGATGCTTGTGGAAGATATATGGTACATCTTATGATTGGAGCCTTAAAAGAAAATGAACCAGGTACATCATATTTAATTGCATCAAAACAGTTAGAAAAAACTAACAATACAACTGTTACCCGATTTATTCAACAATTTCTAGCAGAATTTTTTTTACCAAATCAAATTCCCTCAGAGAAGTTCTTAGTGTTTTTGTCTGACGCAGCACCATATATGATAAAAGTAGGGCAAAACTTAAAAATATTTTATCCAAATATGGTCCACGTTACTTGTCTTCTGCATGGAATAAACTTAGTTGCAGAAACAGAATATCCCTTGGTTAACAAGCTAATTTCGAATGTGAAAAACATATTTTTAAAAGCCCCTTTAAGAGTGCAGTTGTATAAAGAGAGAATGGTAGGGGTGTGTTTGCCCCCGGAACCCGTAATTACGCGATGGGGGACATGGATTAAAGCAACTATATTCTATGCAGAAA